ACAATCCATTAACCAATCAGCTTTTCTGCTGACTTTTTTAAAGATTTTTTAATATAATTCTTTGTAAATACAGTAGAACCTTGATAAGTTAAAGTCCAAGGGAAACACAAAATATTTTAAGTTATACAGGCTCTGATGGGAAGGTAACATATTATTTTTTGAAATTACAGAGGTTTGAGTTATCGAGGTTCTGCTGTATAAAAATTCTAAAGATTATAATTAACATAACATACTCGTAATAATGGCTAAGATAGAATATTATTAGCAAACTGACTTGAGTACTTTTAAGTGGAAGAAACAGCACTTTTGGGCTTCATCGTAATCGATCCGTATACCATCGTAGGTCAGGTTTCAAGCGTTCGCTTCAAGTTAATAGAGCAACTTAAATTTGATACCTAGCACTGGTAGTGGCAATAAAATAAATTGGTATACTATAAATAATAGCAACCACGTATTTTGGCCAAAATGTAAAATATAGCAAACAGAAAAAGTCAAAATTAAATTAATTATGACATTATATAAAAAAAACATAGACGAACTGCTATGTACTACAAACCTCCAAGTAAATTAAATCTGTAAACAGACCACAAATGACCAGTAATGGGTTATGTGATTTAAAGTGGGAACAGTGTGACTTCACTAATCAGTCAGATCTTTACACAGGTGTTTACCCAGGATAAACACCCAATAATTACCAATAAAATACCCTGGGAAACCTTTCCATCTACTTTAATTCCGAGAAGTGTCCGGTAAGGCGCAATTAACATTGCGACCGTCCCGTTATAGTTTTTGCGTCGCCTTCGGGAGACGGCGCGTAGGCGCACTGAGTCAGGACAAGTATCATTGAACCCAACCGAGCAAGCCAATAAACTTTCATTAACATGAGGATATGAGTAATTTGTCGTGTACATTAAAGATAAATTAACGTGTTATTAAAAATGAGAAAAGATTGAATGAAAAATTGTTTCTCTTGTGCTTAAAAACTTGTTTCTCTAGTATACAAACCTTGACATGAGAGTCTACTTTCTCATTGTACTAGGAAAGGGCCGTCACGAGAAAATGTTACTCACTTGAAAGTTAGTAATTCGATGAATTCTAAAAATTACTACGATTTAACTTTAGTTAGTAGACACATTTTATCGTAAAAATAGACTTTTTATTATATTCCTAATGCATAATTGACATTCACACATGGGATTTCTTTACAAAATGTCACTGTTGGTCCCATGGGACCCACATCGTACTGTATCCTTGAACATCGCCATCGTAAAGGTTCTAAACAGTCGACAGTAAAGGTCTCAAGAGATTGTATAAATAGTCGTTCATTACCAACCACATCACGGCCAAATCTAGGAAGTTACTTGACGCATGACATAAAACAATTGCATTGTTAATTAACAAGGGAATTAATCCGATTAAAGGCATCAGGGTTTAATTAAATACTGAGTAATAAGATAAAGAGAAAACATAGCTTCATTTTATTACATTTATAATAGCCGTTACTTGCGTTTTCATCCGCGTGAAATTAAAAAATATAGCCTGTTAAAAATAAAATCGGCCCCGTAGTTTTTGAATTATTTCAATACATACAAAAATACAAATCTTTCTTCTTTATAATATTAGTATAGAGAATAAAAAATGAACCATCGATAAAAGGCTAAGTATAGAAACGTCGTTAACCACTTCTAGTTCATTTTTTACGATGGTGAAATCTTTCAAACATTTCCAGTATATAACTTGTATATCCACGCGAGTAAAGATGTATTTCGTAGAAACTTTTCTTGACACATTCACGCATCAAACAGCGATTTATCGTAAGTTGACTTGTAAACTGACAGTTCTAAAACAACCATTTCAAATATAATTCTACCTGAAGAGAAAGGGTTTGGACATAAACATGAGTCCGTCAAACTGAAATATGTCTGATGGTTCTTATTTTAAAGTCCCTAATCCTTTGCTCATGTGAAGGACTAACGTAGACAAAGAATTTCAATCTCTGCTCTGAATACGGCTAGTAAATATGTCTACGACGGGATAAAGGGGCCCTAACAATAGATACGGTATATAATGACAGTCACTTTTGTGTTGACTTAAAACTGAGACTAAGGGAACAAGTCTAGTGGTCAGTTTAAAACCGATGTTTACTGCAACTGTCGATTTTTAAATATGTACCTGCGTGAAGCATACTTTATCGTGATTGCACATTTTCTGAATATCGGAAATCTCACTGACTTTGAGAATACAATAAGTGATATAATCTATTAGACCTCCGCACAGTCGGACTTTTTATTGGCCGATATTTTAATCGGGGCTGGTAGTCAAGTCAAAACAATAAACAAAATCGATGTAACACGCACTACGCGTCCGACTAAACTATCAGCCTAAAGTCTGCAGTGTACGAAGGCTCAAAATAAGGTCTGTTCCTTAGATATTACTAGTCTCTGACTTCTACAATATAATAGACTTAATTAAAATAATAAGGCGTGCCAATAATGACTCTCAGAGTACTATTGTATGAGGTTTAGCAATCTTAAACATTTGAAGTTTAATGAACCTTGACAATAGATAAATGAGAACAATTTATAACAAAACGAGCTGTTGCCCGCGACTTCGTCCGCGTGGTATTAGAAAACATACAAACTATATAAATTAAAAAAGCTATGTATCACTCAATAACCGGATATTTCTTGGGGATGAAGCTTATCCCATGTGTACTCCAGACTTTGTTTTATATCTGTGCCAAATTTCAATAAGACATGTTGAACCGTTGCAGAATGATCGATTAAACATTAAAAAACTAAATTAATAATTCCCACGGGAATCGTAACTATTCCCGGGATAAAAAGTAGCCTATGTGCTCTTCAAGACTATGCTCTAAACCTGTGCCAAATTTCATGGAGATACGTTCAGCCGTTTAGGCTACAAACGCAACAAACACACAGATTACTATTGTCTGTTACGAAGTTGATATTAGACGTTAACAAAAAATTGACACGAAAGGAAAAGTTTTGAAATTGGAATTCTGGAGTTGCTCAAACCAGAAACAAAAATATTTTTTCTAACATTAACTTTGGGATTAAAAACGTTAAGATATAGAGAAAAATCTCTGGTACAAAAGATTTTTCAGATATAACGGATATCATTATTACTTCGTAAAAATTATGAACAGCCAAGTTTAAGTAACAACAAACTTATAATGCATGTAATTCATCAGCATTGCAAATTTAAACAATTATATTTACTTCATTAATGATATGCATAGTTTTTAATACCGGTAATTTTGTATTCCGACATAAATAACGCACGTGAAAACCGGACGTATTGCAACCTTGCAATTTCCTTCTTCCATGCTAATACAACAATGGTCAAATTTTTTACATCAATGAAAAAAAAGGACATTGTTGCATAGAAGTTATATAGGGATCAGCTAACTATAATAAATTTATTTTCTTGGAGGAAACTCATGTATAAAAATACCACCAAGAGATTCAAAATGAAAAGGAATGACACATAAAGTACAATTTAAAGAAGAAAATTCTCATGGGGTAAATTAAAGTTGAAAGGAGTCTATGAGGAAATCTCCGGCATGCATAATTTTAAACTATCTTTGTTTAATTTGTTGAATATAGATGCTTTACTTTCACTATAAAATACATCTCTGTTATTCTGTAAGACTATTTTGCATAAAAGACTGACGCAAAGCTATTTAAGAGTCATTCACAGAATTACAACACTGCATTAATATGAAACAGGTTTACTGCCCACACCATATGTATGGAGATTGCATTGAGGCATTGGTTTTAAAGTTTAAATAAGTTAACTAGTAATTGTTATGTACTTCAAGACTTATAGTTATAACAGACTTAGATTTTATACAAGCTCTTAATGTTTTTTTTTTCTCTTTGGCTTTGTTTACAACATTAAATGCATGCCAGTACTCAAAACTTTTACGAATTATTTACTTAAATTTTTCTATAGGAACTTATTGCAACACATTTTTAATTGTTTTTTTAATAAGTGGATTCTTGAAAGAGAAGTGGTCTTATATAATTGTTTTAGAGCTTTCTCTTCATTATATAAAAGTACCATGTGAACTTAGATGAAGACAAAGCTATGTTGAATGTACAGAGGTGAAATGTGGCATTTTAAACACATATATTTAAGCTATTACTACTTAATTAAGCTTAGTAATAATTCAATTTTAGTTTTACTAAAAAATGTTAGACTGATGTAATATTTATGCTTGTCAAATGTAAAAGACAAGCAACTCTCAACAACTACCAACTCCATTTTCATTTGCACATAACTTTATCATCAATCTGTCTGTTATTTATTCAAATATGAATTAATAAATTATAATAAAATAATTTAATACACTTAAAAGGTCCTAATTATTTACGGAGATTTGAAGATGTTCATATTTTAGTAGTTTATTTGATGTAATACGTTTATTTATTTTTTTCATAAATAAATATGTATATATTCATGTGGTTTTAATACTAAATAGCCAGCTAAATAATGATATTGCAGCTGCAAATAATTTTTGCTATAAAAGTGGTATACAATAACTCTTGTGACAAAGGAATTTTTATAAATATTATAAGGGTAGATGGATATCAGATTCTTAAATAACAGTCTGAATGAGTTTAGAATATTCCAGTTAAGATTTTTATATGTCATCTACAGCTTTTACAGATTTATAACTAACATTTTTATTGGTGCTTGTAATATAAACAATAATATGAGGGTTATAGTAAAGAATTTGTTTACTAAATAATTCAAATTTAAATTAACCTTATTACCTTACCAAGGAACCAATGTTCCATTGACACGTAAAGATAATGTTATTCAATGTAAGGCATACAAACCCGCATTTCCCACCTGTGTGGCCTTCCGCCTTCATACGTTGATGCTAATTAACTATTTCATCAAATAAGGAAACAGCTTCAACATTCAAGGTAATCCAAAGAAAATAACAAATGGAAACAAACAACACTCACCAACTGCCACTTGGACTTGCGTGTTGTATCAGCTATAGTAATCAGCAACCTGTGGATCATCTGGACGGTTCCCTCGTAGTAGACCAGTGCGGATTCGTAGTTACCCATCAGAGCCATTTCCCGAGCCAGCTTCGTGTTCTCGCAAATTTCGCCAACAGAAACTGCCATTATTGTCATTCCCGCTGCGTGCATATAACGATCCTATCGCAAAAATTTTACTTTTCCACTCGTGGACTGGAATCGCGTGTGACATCAAACGAAGAAAAGCACTTAACTCATATTTTACAGTCCAACACAATTTAACTCCATTGTTATACAGTTATGTGATATTTAGCAAAGATATTGTTTTATCTTAGGTCAATAATTTATCTCATGGCCACAGAATTTATAAAAATCTAAATTTTGAAGACAAAACAAACTTCATAAATTTCGTTGATCAGTCCACAACACGACAAATAAGACAGTCGACGAATGCCAACATAACGTAATGTTAACGTACCTCGTCTTTTATGTTGCCAAGTCATATGCAGCTATTTCCTTATAAGAACTTTTTAATTTTGATTGAGACCAAGTTATCTTTCCTTAAATATTGCGACTCTACTAATTCTGCATATTTATTTCATTTGGTTATTCTCATTCAAGATAAAATATGCGCACGTTAGAGATATCTTATTAACAATGGTAAATTCTTTCACATATTACCGAGATAAACGGAATCTTAATAAGCTAGCAACATTACAACAGTTGTCAACTGTCATCTTACTGACAATCAGGTTAATGTTGGTAGAGCTGAAAATTGTGCCTTCATATTCCGTTCCTAAATCAAGATTAAAAATCTTGTCTTTATGTACGGAGAAAACTATAAAAATGTTCTCACAGTTCAAAACTGTCTCAAATAATGATCTTACACACTTTATTTATCTCAGTGGAATAAGTTTAATGTTTTGATAGTTTTTAATAGGATAAAAACTATTTAAACCTGGGAATGAAAGGTTAACACCGCCGATAGTAAGGGTTATGGCCATAAATAATTACCGCATGTTCTTTGTTCTTACCAACATTCTCGCTGCTTGGGTATATAACAAATACAAATACAAATATGTGCAAGGAAGAACTTATCGTAAAAGGATACATCATTAAGAGTATTCTGATTTTTATTAAAATAACAAATAATAAAACCATGAGCGTAACAGTAAACATTATATTGATAAGCCTAGATTTATACATAGTATGAAATATAAATACATCTCCAGTTATACAGTTACATGTCTATTTACATACACCTTTACATAACTTCTAGTCCAATGTTGCCATTATAATAACCTAAAATATGAATTGGTGAAACATGAACAAAATTATCTACAATCAAAATAACAAAACATTCTCGATGGTTAAAAATAATTTATACAATTGCCTTCAATTGAAAAAACCTTACCATTTTAAATATAACCATGAGTTTCTCATATCGAAATAGCTTTACAAAAAACATTATCTCATTAACAATGATTATGATAAGCATATTTATATGTTAGTGTTTGGTTACAGAAACCCACGGTAAGATACAGAACATTATCTTAAATTATGCAAATTTCCATTTAACATAGTCGATTCATAATTACGTACATTACAAATTGCAAGTACTAAACATAACTGCACTGCAACCTACACTATCCTAAGTTTCAATTCTTTGGATGAGAAAGAAAATCGCGAAATACCAACATTGAAAAACTATGTACTTAAGAAATTAAATCCATTGACCATAAATTGAAAAAAAAACAATGCCGATATACAAAAACTCAACTAAAAAAACGATCTAGCATAGATAACGCTAAAATGAGTTCGGTGTAAAATATTTTAGCACCAAAAATTTAATAAACATACAACTTACACATAAATAGAGGAGGACAAGATTAGGGACTAGGCGACTTTTGAGTCCTAGATAAAAATATGGCCTTTTTATAAAAATAGGATCTTTTAATTTAAAATAAGAGGAGCAGTTAAAATAGATTATCTCAATTGGGTATTATGAGTAGTAAAAGATATAATTAGAATAATATTGCGGTGAGTTTAAATGGATATGCCTTTTTTTCCGTTCCAAGCTACTTCACACGAATTTCCAAAGTGAAAATAAAATTTATTGTATTGCTAATCATAATTTGTTTATGTCCAATACTTTTTTTACATTGTTGCCAATAACTAACACATAAATTATCACAATTGAAAATTATGTTTTAATTTCATTTAGTTTTAATTCACATTAGATTTTCCGACCAAATATAAGTTATTGAGTTAAATATATTCAATACGCATATTTCTGAAGCACATTTTATCACAATATAGATGGTCCATAATTTTTATTGGCTTAAGAAGAATTTACGCGACAAAATTTATTATAAAACATGAAGCATAAACAAAGCAAGAGTTCATACGAAATATGTGAAAACGCAATTACTACGAGTATTACTACGTTTCTACAATAAATTCAAAAACAAACCGTTTTATTCGACGCAATATGTACCGAGATACATGAAAAAGAAATTGTTTTGGTTTTAACTTTAACAGATAGTATATGAATTACTAAAATACCACATACAAGACATGTATTTCTAAATAATATAGTTGTCCCTATTTTTTTAAAACGAATGAAAGGGATACCATGAAGCACAAGTCGAAAACCACTGTTTTAAAAGATATTTATACATGGTTTACAATCTTATATATAAATTTAGGGACTTTCAAGTTGTAAACTAGATTTTATTTGCAGTCAAGATACCTTCCCTAACAATAAATAACAGGATAGAATATTGCAATTTTAAAAAGTGGCCATATAAGCTCTTAACATATCTTGTTAGTTGTAGCTATCATACTAATATCATTTATCTTTGAGAGAAGCTGTACTTCCTCACATAAGCGAAGGTGTACTTCCTCTCTTAAGCGAAGCTGTACTTCCCCACTTGAGAGAAGCTGTACTTCCCAACTTGAGCGAAGTTGTACTTCCCCACTTGAGCGAAGTTGTACTTCCTCACTTGAGCGAAGTTGTACTACTTTACTCGAGCGAAGCTGTACTTCCCCGCTTGAGCGAAGTTGTACTTCCTCACTTGAGCGAAGTTGTACTACTTTACTCGAGCGAAGCTGTACTTCTCCACTTGAGCGAAGTTGTACTTCCCCACTTGAGCGAAGTTGTACTACTTTACTCGAGCGAAGCTGTACTTCCCCACTTGGGCGAAGTTGTACTTGTTCACTTGGCGAGGTGTCCTCAGGAGGCGGTGTCGTGTCCCTGCGGCGCGGGCGGCAGCACGTGGACCTGCGCCGCCTTGCCCGCGTGGTACACCTGCCCCGGACTGAACGGCTCCAGTCGGGGGTGAGATGAGATGTCTTTCTTTGGATCTGCGAATAGATTTATGTTAATGTATTATCAATGTGCATAAAATTGAAGATTTGATTGGGTAAAAATAGGTTCCTAAGCTCTGATTTAATTAAAATTTTGCGCGTGGATGAAAAATAACTCTTAGTTTGTCAGAACAGTTAAAGTTCTACATACTAGGCATTTTAGGTTTTAGGTATTAGCCTTAGTAAATACTATTTATTTGAATTAAATATTTAAATCGCTGAATTTTTTATAAGTTTTGTCATCTCTCACCAGAACCTTTTAATTTCAGCCATTTCTATGTTCAAAGTCTATCAGTTGACTTATATTTTGTTCCTCATGCTCTATGTTTACCTTTGGTATTAGCGGCGATGTATTTGGAGAGGCGCACAGTGGGCAGCGGCAGGTAGCCGGCCACCAGCGGCATCACGTCCAGCGACACCTGCTGCGGCCCTCCAGCCTCCATTGATATCACGCCTGTAACACATATCAGAACATATTAACACACTTCTATAAACTTCACTTATATAATGCGAAAGATTAAATGGATAGATATTACTATTTTTAAATTATAATTGTAACTAGGGATATTAATTTAAACACTCCTCTGGAGATCTTGCTAAGAATGGCGCGCGAAAATCCTAATGACATTGACAGCTGTCAGCTAGGGATGTGACGTTTATGCCGATAATCTAGTGTTGTGCCAATTCTGCAGCATGGTACTAATATTCTTCTTAACATTATGTATCTCCAAAATGAAAACAGATACTGATGAAATTTGTCACAGATGTAGAACATAGTCTGGAAATGACAGCTTCTGTTCCGATTTAAATGCGCCATTTGATTTTAAGTGTCAATAAATTTAAAATCAAATAGCAGTATTATTAATTCGAAAACTATTCACTGTGACCACGAGACCATCAGCGTCAAAATGGCAAAAATCAAATACACAAATTACCATAGATTATAGCCTGTCCATTTATAAAGGTCAATGTTGGAAAACACATAAGCGATTTATTAAGATTTTTATTTCGCGTGGACGAAGTCATATAAAAGCTACTCTATTTTAAAAATGTGTTTTTACAACTGACCTGCAGTTCGACCCAGTACAGCCCACATAGTTTGATCAGCTAACACTTCGTACATTAGTGAGGTGTGTTCAGTTTCGTTGACCTGCAATTGACAGTAAACAATTAAAGCCTTACCATAAAAACTTAGACAGTTTCAAACCCACTTATAGACCTACAAGGATCTTTTGGCAGTTTTTTTGACATTGACAGGCACTTGCTATTTTAAGAGTTACCAGTAAGAAAAATTCCCAACTTCTTTCGAAATTCTCCCAAATTCTTACACCATTAAAAACTATACTTTTTTTAATTTCATGTGGGCGAAGTCATGGCAATAGCTATTATCTATTTATTATTATTATTTATATTTAAATTATTTAATTTTTTTAAGGTAATACCAGTTACAGCTAAACAAAAACGATATCAGTGCTTCTAAAGTCAAAAATATTAATGTTGGTAGTTAAAAAAACTTACTCTTTGCACAGTAAGCTGCAAGCAGTATACTTGAGAGGCGCGACAGAACTCTGAACCCTTGCCGGGTTCTAACTTAGTTCTAACAACGAAGAGGGTTGTATATTCCTGTATATCGAAGGGGCATACAAATGTCTTGAGGGTGTCCTCCCCCTCGCTGGGCCGGTACTGCACCCTGAACGTGGCCTTCATAGGACCAGCTTTCACAAGCGGATCTTTCAGTAATTCCCACATAAATGACGCGGTCGTACCATCCGATGCTACTAACTGCAATAAAGGTTGACAATTATACAGTTACCTATATTACTAACCTATACTAATATAATAAAGCGTAAACACACACATCTTTGTGGCGTAAGATATCAACAATTACAGCATATTTTTGAATAATTCTTTTTATAATTAAAGAGCCCTACACTTTCGACATGCTTTGGGTTATATATTTTCACGCTTTTAAATTTAGGGGGTAAATAAATTAGTTTTTTAAGCTTGGTCTCTTGACCATAAACTAGGAGCTGCCAACATCAAGGAAGCAAGATTGCCATGGTAAGGTAATCGTATTGTAACATTTACAATTGAGAATTTGATAAATGTAAACAATAAAATATTATTTTTATAATTTCATGCGGATGAAGCCGCCCGGGAGCTAGTATCAGATATGCAAAAGTATGGATGGATGGATGAAAGTTTGTGGTGACAGCTGAACGTATATTGATGAAATTTGACATAGACGTAGAGGATGGTCTGGAAAACTACATAGGTTACTATCAAGTTTTTTTTAAGGATCTGGGGCAAAATATTGTAATATCATAGAGGAAAGATTTGATTGATGCAAATAAGCTTCGAAACTACTGAATCGATTTGAAAAATTATTTCTCTATTGGGTAGTTGCACACTCCCCGACTGATATTTTTTATTTAAGAGCTCTAGTTTCAGAGAAAACAATTTTTGAGTTATTTCAATACATACAAAAATCCAAAAAGTTCAAATCTTTTATCTAAATTAGTATGGATTACAAAATATAAACTATTGATAGACATAAAATTATTATAAAAAGTACATCTCACCATATTCCCAGCATCTTTTGGGTTTAAGTCAGACAGCGTAGTATTGCTATCGCACTCTAACTTGGGGTCAATCAGCTCGAACTGTATGAGATGTGCGACGGTGGACTTGACGGTGACGTGGATGAACTTCCTCGTGTTGGAAGTGAGGAGTCTCCACGAGGCTATCATTGGAGGGGAGAAGTGTAAAGGCACTTCCATCACCGCTTCCCACCACGGACAGCTTAACCACACCTGTGAATAACAAAAACCGCGTTTAGGATAGACATGGTCTTTTGGTATGCTTTATTAAAAATTAAAAAATTACTGGATAGATTTCAAATTTAAAAGAAAAAAAACAAGAATCACATTAAAATAATAAAGCGTAAACACACACTACATTGTTATGTAGGATCTCAGCAATCGCAGCATGTTATATAATTCTTTTTTTATTAAATAGCCCTACACTTACGACACTCTTTGAACTACATATTTCCAAGGTAATTAAACATAGGAGGCAAATAAATTGGAAAATTCTGCATGTGTGAAAGGGACCAAAAACTACAAGCTGACATCATCCAACATCAACAAAATTGTTATCCGATATCAAAGGCATTCACAAATGTAAACAATAAAATAAAGAGGTACGAGAACAGATCGTTGGATACAGTAAAATGTTTTTTTATATAAGAAAAAACCTTTAGAATTAAACCTTCTTTTGTAGTTGATTACAATCTCAATTTATATACATAAACTAGATGGCGTTGTTATCAATTTTACAATAACTTCATCACTTAATCTACTAGCAGACCAATTTACAACTTACAGTATGCTCGACGGTCTTCTCCCTCCTGGGCTGGAGGCTGGCGAACAGCCTGAGCGGCACGCGCGAGGTGGTGAAGGCCTCGCACGCCGGCACCTGCACGTCCAGCTCGCGGCACATGGGGGACAGCTGCGCACCGAACCTCATCAGGAGACCGGTGGATGTCTTCATGTGGATTGTTGCGTCCTGGAACAGCAATACTTTATATGAATATAGTGTTATAATCTATCATGATCTAACCAGGTCACTATATGTTCCCACTGAGGATCAGAGTCTACCCCAAGTTGGGGGTGATCTTCTAATCTATACTTATAAAATGTAAACACACTTTTTAGTATGTAGTATGACATCAATCATTCTAATCTTACTAATATTATAAATGCGAAAGTTTAGATGGATGGATAGATGGATGGATGGATGGATGGATGTTTGTTAGCGTTTGTAGCCTAAACAGCTGAACGGATCTCTATGAAATTTGGCACAGGTTTAGTGCATAGTCTGGAAGAACACATAGGCTACTTTTTATCCCGGGAATAGTTACGGTTCCCGTGGGATTCATTAATTTAGTTTTTTAATGTTTACTCGATCATTCTGCAACGGTTCAACAAATCTTATTGAAATTTGACACAGATATAAAACAAAGTCTGGAGTACACATGGGATAAGCTTCATCCCCGAGAAAAGTCCGGTTCCCGAGGGATACGTAACTTTTTGTAATTTATATAGTTTGTATATATATACATATACTACGCGGACGAAGTCGTGGGCAACAGCAGATGGATGTTTGTTAGAGTTTGTAGCCTAAACTATTGAACGGATCTCAATGAAATTTGCCATAGATGTAGGGGATAGTCTGGAATAACATAGGGTACTTGGTTTTGTTTTTCTTAATACCACGCGGCCTAGTCGCGGGCGAAAGTTAGTCTTGAATAATGCTTTGTTTATTAAAAAACCCTACACTTAGGATACGCTATCTTACTCATATTGTAAATTCGAAAGTTTTGATGGATGCAAGTTTGTTAGAGTTTGTAGCCTAAACTGAACGGATCTCGATAAAATTTGGCATAGATGTAGAGAACCGTCTGGAAGAACACATTTTTTTTTAATTCCCCGCAGACGGAGTCGCGAGCAAAAGCTAGTTTTTAAATAATACATTTTCCAACAAGAAGTCCTACTCATAACATGCTGCAGGCTATATTTTCACGGTATTTAATTTCGGAGGTGAATTATTTTGTTATAAAGAGAATAATTAAGAGTATACATGTGTTCATGGTCCGAGATACTACGCAGAGCCCAAGACAGAGCGAGCTGGCGGCGTACTGTGGACGCCCTCTGCCCCACTGTGGGGACATAGGAATAGAAGAGAGATGTGTTCGTACCTCTAGTATAGGCGAACTTCCACTAGTAACCACTAATTCCATATCATGTTCCAACCCAGCCACTAAATCCTTCTTTGGTTCCACTTTATTCAAAACAACACTGATCCCTTGAGTGACCACTTCGTACCCCATTTTAGTTGTTATCAAAGCATTTGATAGGAATTCTAATTTCTCTTCCACTAATAAGGAAATCTGTCCAAGTTTGAAAACACCGCATTTCTTTGCTTCATATTCTAAGTATATCTCATTAGTGCCCGGTGTTAATTGTACATTACAAGCACTGAATGAACTCTCATAGTTATTTCTGACTGTAACTGAAGGTTTTCTATATTTAGTGCTTTCCGAACGTTTTAATGTCAATTTAGGGTTTTGACATTCGACTGTAGTTTTTTGTAGACTTTTATCTTCTTTGTAATGCAATTTTGATGTGAAGTTTAGAGGGCTGAGTAAAGGATTCTTAGGTTTTAAATCGTCCAGTCTTATACTGAAAATAATAAATTAAGGATTAGTTAAAAAAGTATTTTTTTTAATATATTGATTTAACTCAAAAGTTACTGGGTCGATTTTAAAAATTCTTTCATCATTAAAAAGCTATGTTAACGATAAGTATAATATATTTTTTACTCCATGGACTAAGTCACGAGCAACTACTAGTTAACAATATTTTAAATGCGATAGTATGGATGGATATTTCTTACTACATAATCAAAAACGACTAAACGGTCTTCACTGATTTTTAGTATAGAAATAAAACAGTCTAGAGAAACTAAGACTAAGAAAATAGGTTATTTTTTAATTCTTTGCGGGCAAAAGCAAGTAAATAACAATATTACATACCTTGTTAATAGATTACTATTGTCATTTTCTACGGAAGCGTCCCCTGTCGACTTCTTCGGGGAATTTTGAGTACCTACACTACCATTTACATTTAAATCAGTCTTATAGCTTTTAACCGGTGTCCGTCTGTCCGTTTGTTTCTCTTGTTTGGATATTTCAGTACTGATAGCGGCTCGAGTACAGACAACTGTTTTCGGTAGATAACTTTCGATGGTCAATCGACATTGGACCTTATTATCAGTGATATAAACCCCACGTTCGGACGGCAGTAACGTCGCTGATACGACTTTGAAGCAATCGTTAAGTTCAGTGAGAACGGGCTCGGGTTTCTCTGAGAGACCATCTCTGATTGATTTCATCATCTCTTCGAAATAGAAATTTCTGACTAGTATCTCCAACTCGACGGTGCTCGCGATTCTCGCAGATAGCTTTGTATATCTGGAACACAAAACATGCATCATAAATATGTAATTTAAAAGTCTTTGAAATAAAAAAAATAATTTTTCTATATACATTTTTTTTACTAAGTATTTTCTTAAAATGCAACATAAAAAACTCCTTAGAACTAACATAAAGAAAAAATATTATCATTCCTGCTTAGATTTTTTTATTTACTTCACTTCATTTCAAATAAAAATAAAATTTCTTCACCTATATTAAGATTGTAAACACAAATTTGGATGGATGGATGGATGTTTGCTACTACATATCTCCAAAATGGATATCAATGAGTTACAGATGTAGAAAATATTCTATTAAACCAGTCTACCTTTCTGTTTTTGGTAACAAAGGATATCTTCGATACATACCCTGTAATTTTTTGTAATAGACATAGTTATATGAGAATTCTACTCACTAAATACTTTATTACTATTTTAAAATCCAAACTACTTAGTAATTTATATTAACAAGCTAGTGACTAAGTGTTACCTATCTATATCATTCATTTTCTTAGCAGCAGCGACCAGCTCCAGCCTCGTCTGCGCGGCAAGGTCCAGCCAGCCCTCCTCCTCGTAGGAGCGCAGCGCGTCCGTGAGGAACAGCACCGCCTTGCCCGTCTCCCCCAGCTCAGAGTAAAACGACGCCAGGTCACGACCGATCTGACGCGCGAATCTGACGTCACAGAATAAACTCTATATAACGTCACACAAGGGACTGAGATTTGTGTCGTTATGGAGTGATTTAAATTATAATCTTTGTTATCCTATAATGACTTGTATTTTCTTATATGTAGTGTCAAATAACTTCGTCAAAGCAAAGATTACCGTGTTTTAGTTAAAGTTACAGTTTAAAAGTACATAAGCAACTGCAATTGTAACAATTTGTCTGTCTTTTTGATTATTATTAGTCAATTCAATTTTTATTTTATTGCAGCGAGGGCGACGATATATGGAGTGTATAAAGTAATAAAAAAATAAACCAACTAAATTCAGCGTTATAAAGAGTTCTATGTTAGAGTGACGTTATATGGAGGTCATTTACATTAAAGAAAACCTTACCTCAATCTGCCAATATGCTTGTAAGTGCCCATAGCTAATTCAGCCAGCTCGAGGTAATACTGCTGGAAGCTGGTCTTGCTGCAGAGCGCCTCCTTCAGCCGGTCAGTGGGCGTGGGCTGCGAGTTGTTAGCCTCGCTGTCCCCCATACCAGCAGACAGCATCACCACCAAGTGCAGCTGCTCTGATGTGGGCTCCGGGGAACCGGGTAGTAAACCACATAGTTTACCTAATTCGTGTAACTGAAATTGTATAGATTTATTATGAAAAAGTAATCGGTCTTAGTATTAATTCAATTTGTAAATATAAAATGATGATGTCTAACTATATTTAAAAAAGCCATTATAATCTAGAGAACATTTAAAATATAGAATTCGGAAAATAATCTGAACTTTAAATTAACACAGCACAATGTTTTTACACACAGTAATATAAACGAGTCCATATGTGTCTTGCTAATATTATAAATGAGAAAATTTAGATGGATGAAGGATGATTGTTATAGTTTGTAGCCAAAACTGCTGAACGGAACTGTGAAATTTGGCATTGATGATAAGCCAAGTCTGGAAAGACGCATAGGTTAGTCACTTTCGCTTTTTTTAAACCCACGCTGAGGAGTCACGGGCAAAAGCTAGTGTATCACCATATTTACCTTATCCTTGGCATTGTGTAAGAGCGGTGCCTGCGTAGCCGTGCACAATTCGAGGGCGTTGCCGTGCGCGTTGTAGGCGGAGGCGGGGGCGGGGCTAGCGGCGGGGGGCGCGGCGAGGCGGTCGCACGCGCGCCACGTCTCCGCGCACGCGAGCTGCGCCCAGCAAGCCGCGGCACCTTCCACCGCATTCGCACCCAATAGAGATAGCTCTACTAACGTATTGTGCACTGTGCTTAGACAACGCGATGCTATCTAAAAGAGTAATCACTTAAGAAACACTTGTGTAAAAACAGTAACTTTCTTCACCTATACTATCATTATCTAGCATATCATTTGCGAAAACTAACATATCTAGTTTTCCCGTTTAATAAAAAACTAAATATATAAATAAACTTATAAAGAGGTTTGTATTTTTGTATGTATAGTAATAACTCAAAAACTACTGGGCCGATTTTAAAAATTATTTCACTTTTAGAAAGATAATTTATCTGTGAGTAACATACGCTATGTTTTATTATATTTTAATATCGAGGACGAAGTCACAAGCAAAAGCTAATTTCTTCTAAAGGGACAACAAAAACTATAACTTTGTAAATATGTACATACCTAGATAGATTTAATGATAAAAGTTACAACAAAGATCAGATAACAATCTTTCAATCTCAAGTAGTTTACATAAGCATTATGTTAATTTTATTCAAACCATTATAAACAATAATTAACTTAATTTTATTTAACATACACAATTTTAGATCAGTTAAGTAGGGTTGGCGACAGGCAGACCGTCATAAAAATAAGGTAAAACCATGTGTGCCAACCTTAATAAGTGGGATAATGTCAAGGGGATGATGACACAAATCTAATTTAGGTTTTTCTGTAGAGTTTAATAATAAGTGTATTTAACAGATGGCTAATCATGAAGAATATCTTTCTGACAAACAGTTAATCTGATAATTATTCCATATAATTACCCACTTGTCGGCATAGATTCGTGGCCACTGCAAATTCCAATTGCAGTAGTAATTAAGTTCTAATTGGCTGTTATAATTACTCTTTTACTGTTGCATTTCTACTATTTTACAATTTCTTTTTAAGCATTCTAATATAAGCATATTAACTCTATGAATTGTATGAAGTTGTTTCGTGGTGATTTTCTACTATAAAAATTTAATGCAACTTTTTTTAAACCGAACTTTATAAAATTATTAATACTAAAAGAGAGATGTTTAAAGAATTCTTCTGAAAATTAATCACAATATGGCATCGGCATAACAAAAGTTTAATAAAACTTACCTCCCATGGTTTATACATTAACAATAACATGGCACTTTGTCGTTGGTACAGGTAACTTCTGAAATCCAACAAGGAAGCTTTCTTCTTAATAATCAGTTCTCGTAAATGCTGTGGTATCAAAGCAGTCAGTCTAACAGCCTGCCATGATGTTATCGGTTGTCTGAATGTATCAAGCCACTTTGGACTCTCTGCTACATTTGAATTGAGTACAAATTGCGAAAAAAGTGCATCTAACTCATCATATTGGACTAGAGCTTCTTCGTATAAACCTAGCATTTCTAATACAAATGCTAGTTGTTCCTGAAATTACAAAACATGTTTATAATAGTGTTGGCCACATTGACCATAAAATAATAAAAATGACAAAAAATGTTACCTGTAAAATAAAATATGAACAGAAATCCCATTCTGGATCATTCCGTTTCTCTCTTTGCTCTCTCATATGCTCTTCAAACTTAATCAATGCTTTGTTGTACGCAACTAGTACAAAATGTCGTATTTTCGCTACCAAAGATCTCCATGAGTCAGCACTCCGAGCTTCCGATTTGATGGGATTTATTACAGATAGAAATCTATCCTCTTGATGTTTTATCGCAAAGTCTGCCTTAATTTTATCCAGAACAGTAGTCCTTGGTAGTAACTTGTTGGCTTTCCTTATGTCATAAGTCTCAACTAAAACTATCATCCAATCTGTGACACCATTCTTTTCCATATGCTTAAGCCATGTTTCCACTTCATCTCTTAATGTTGTCTTATAGTAATCTATGTCCTATAATTAATTTATAATAATATTATAAAGAGGAAAGATTTGTATTTACGAGCTGTTGCCCGCGACTTCGTCCGCGTGGTATTAGAAAACATACGAACTATATAAATTACAAAAAGCTACGTATCCCTCGGGAACCGGACATTTCTCTGGGATGAAGCTTATCTCATGTGTAGTCCAGACTTTGTTTTATATCTGTGCCAAATTTCAAGAAGAACCGTTGCAGAATGATCGAGTGAACATTAAAAATCTAAATTAATGAATCCCATGGGAACCGTATCTATTCCCGGAATAAAAAGTAGCCTATGTGTTCTTCCAGACTATGCTTTAAACCTGTGCCAAATTTCATGGAGATCCGTTCAGCCGTTTAGGCTACAAACGCTAACAAACATCCATCCATCCATCCATCCATCTAAACTTTCGCATTTATAATATTAGTAAGATTGAATTGGCGTAAAGGCAGCTCGTCGATGACTCAGTAAAGGCTTACCAGGGCAAGCACGACCTTCAGCAATGAAGAAATGAAGAAGAAGAAGATGTATTGAATTAACACAAAAACTACTGGGGCAATTTAAAAATTTCTTTCTCTGTTATTAAGCTATGTTACCAATGAGTAAAGTAGGCAATACTATTTTATTGCACATTCATTTTGTGGACGGAGTCCCGAGTAACAGCTATATTAAATGTGCATAAGTAACTACAATGCTAGTTTTAGATGCAAGATGAAAATTCACTATACATCATTGGTTTCTGCAGCCAATGATCTAAGTAGGCCGAGGGAGAGGCAGCTACCAAATATAACCTTATTTAATGTATTTCATGTGTCTTTCATACATTTTTGAATTCTCTAGGTAGGACTGTGGCCTTAGTTCTCTCCTGGCAACCCCATTCAATACTTTCTATTAATAATAATTTACTTTGTGATAAGTGCATTAATATACTTTTAACCTTATCAGTCTTCATCCTATTAGTCAGTTTATTGTTAAAGGTTTTAAAATAACATCTTAAGTAAAAGATTATTTTTATATATTCTTATATTTTAAGAGGCAAAATTTGTATTTTGGTTTATAAGGAATACAGCCAAAAACTACTAAACTAATTTATAAAATTAAAAAGTTACATTGTGATTGGGAAATATAGGCTATATTTATAGATTTTTTAATTTCACATGGATGAAATCACGAGTAAAGCTTACTTTAAAAATACTTTTGTATTGATTTTAAGTTTTTTTATGAATAAGATGATTTGCAAGAAAAATAAAAGGTTCTTACCACACAGTCTGTCCAGAATATATGAAATATTGGTCGTTTTAAGAGATTTAACTCAGATTGCACTTTTTCTCTGTCATACTTAGTGAATGACGCTTCCAAGTATACTGGCTTTGTGACACGGCCATAAGACCTTCTCCATTCACAGGAGTCTTGAGGAATTGCAGCCACTAATGGTGCTTCTAAGGTGCAAAATAAGTTCCAGTCTCCAGCACCTGGTATATTATGGTAACAAATTAATCATAAAAATAACAAAAATCCACCTGTTTTCAATGTACATTGCGATTACAAACTTAGTTATGATTGATCAATTTAAAGAATTTTTGGTATATTACAAATAATTATAAGACTGTAAAAGTAGACGCCCTCATTCTTATAATTCAAACAGGAAGGTTTGGTATAATTTGTAAATGATAATGTTCATTTAAGTTACAGTATTTACGTGTGTAACTTACATGTTATGATTGGTTTGTGTGTCATCCCTTCACGATCAGCTGGAACGCTATCGACACCCTTCATTTTTCATTATCAACAAGATTCGTCGACTTTCTGGGCATAACACAGAACAGGCTACTTAACTATCGGAATCTACCCACTTTCTTAACTATCGATTATGGCTCACGTTGAACTTTACTGCTTCCCGTCTCAAATTTACAAATTAAACAAACGCAGTAACAAACTAATTATTTTGACCCGTTTTAAATTGCCATCAAATATTAAAAACGAAAATTTGTCAAAATTCGCTGTCAATGTCAGCCACCACGAAATAAAAACTCAGTACGTTCCTTTTTACACTGTTTCTTAAAACTTGTTAGTATTTTTAAGACAGAGTTGACATTTCTTTAGTACGTTATTAAAATAAGTTGAGTATACAAGTAAATTAAAACAATGTTAATGTTAAGAATATGAAGTTAGATCCATACAAGATGCATGTGTTACAAATACATAGGCATTACACCACTTTGCTGCAATCGGCAATAAAATTCCTTTACTTGTCTACCCTTTTACATAATCTATGGATTGCTAAAATGTCGCATTCTGTTTTGGTATCATCGCGAAATAAAGGAAATCAATTTTCATAATTATCGATGATTTTAGTATCACATTCTCGGTGTCTTACTAATATATACGGGGTATTTTTTAACTTTTATCCGCAAGTAAGAATATGCTGTCGTTAATTTTGTGTTACTTTTATTAAATTATTTTTATTTTCTAAGGCTCCATGGTTTAATATATTTTTAATTGCCAGTAAAGTTATTGATGATATTAGTTAATTAAATGTGATGTTATGATCGAATTAGACTTACTAACTAACACTGTTACGGTTACTAACATTGTTACGGTTTAGAGACGTTGGTAATTTTTCTTTTGTTGTTATTAATAGAAGTGTATTTTAGTTTTATAACTGAACCTAACGATTTAATTTTTTCATTGCACAATTAAATATTAAGTAGGGTTGTTATCTACAAAATTTTATCGTAAACCAATGAACAGTAAGTTAATAAATCTTGATTTTTGTATTTTTTACCTTATTTCAATGGTTTAATTTTACAGTAATTGTACTGTGGATCGAATATTTTCATAATATGTTTTTCCTTGGTGCATTTCTTTTCTACTTTTATATTTCTTTATATATGTTAAATTTAATAGGTAGTCAAATAGTATCATTAAGTTGAATAAATCAGGTTTGATTGAAAATTTATTTTTGTGAAGATTTATCTATACAATGTTTTAATGAACACAATTCATTCATCATAAAGTTTTTATTCAATTATCTTGCATTGTAATGTGAATACAATAGTTAATTTTATATCAATGTATAATTTATTTATCAATCTAAATGATTTGCTATTTTTTACTTATCTTTTATATCTACAGTTATAACCAATTGATGTAATGTCTAAAAATACCTAATACCTACTTAGTTGCAAATTATAACATTTTTTTTACTTTTAGCTATGAATACCACAGCTCCAACGTCCGCTGATGCTTGCCTCAGTATTGTCCATTCACTTATGTGCCATAGACAAGGTGGTGAGAGTGAAGGCTTCTCAAAACGTGCCATAGAGTCTCTTGTTAAGAAACTGAAAGAGAAGAGAGATGAATTAGATTCACTTATAACTGCTATCACCACAAATGGAGCACATCCTAGCAAATGTGTTACTATACAGAGGACTTTGGATGGACGTTTGCAGGTAACTGCATCTGTTTCTAATATATTTGATTGCAAAATATGTGAAATGTGTTGATCAACATGTTTCCTGTTGTATCAATAGATTGGTACTCAGACCTACTGGTAACTTGTGCTGGTTGTAGTTACTATGCTTAATGATTGTTCCAGGTTGCGGGCCGTAAAGGATTTCCCCATGTGATTTATGCAAGAATTTGGCGTTGGCCAGATCTTCACAAGAATGAACTGAAACATGTTAAATTTTGTCAATTTGCTTTTGATCTTAAATGTGACTCAGTTTGTGTCAACCCTTACCACTATGAGAGAGTGGTGTCACCTGGAATTGGTATGTATTTCTAATTACTCAAAAAATACATTGAATAGACATTATTAGTTACTAGCGATCAATCCCACCTTTGCCTGTGTGGGAGACTATATGTCTGTTATTTTTTCTGTCATAGTCAAAACCTTCTCTTGATGTCCAGTGATAATATAGCTTTCTAACAGCAAAATAATGTAGTAGTTTTAGAGATAAAATAATCTAGTAGTTTTAGAGACTATTAAATGCAATAAAATAAGTAAATAATTAAATCTTTTGAAAAACAATTTCTCATTGCATTTATGGGGGGTTTTATTTTGCTAGTTATAGGAAAAATTAATAATTTCAGATCTCTCTGGTCTTACACTACAGTCTGGACCTAGTAGGTTAGTGAAAGATGAATACACAGCAGGTCTCAGCGGCAATGGGATGGACATGGACACCGGGGAGCTGGTGACCATTCAGCATCATGCAACAAGCCCCAGACACCATCACACATCAATGCCTCACCATCATCAGCAATTCCAGACCACAAATATAATTCTCAATCAAGGCCAAAGTAAGTTATTGTTGGTTTTATTTACATTTCTATATGTATTTTTCTTTTACTTTAAAACATTTTATGTTGCACTGCATGATAATTTTGTTTTGCATTTTCCGTCTCAATAGCCCCAGAGGGCGTTCCGAACATGTTTTCACCGCACGGACCGAGACCACCTATCAGACCATCCGGCGGTCCTCCACAACTCACACAAATGGTTCACTCCCCGAGTGCACAGCAAATGATGAATCATCAAGTTCAAATGCAAGGCAACCCACAAATGGGACCGGGGACACCACAGATGGGACCTGGAACACCTCAGATGGGACCAGGTACACCCCAGATGGGACCCGGTACGCCCCAAATGGGTCCCGGTACACCTCAAATGGGTCCCGGGACACCACAAATGGGAACAAACGTTCCGCAAATGGCATCACCTCGAATGGCCTCTGCTCCCACTCAGATGTCCCCGGGGACGCCGCAGATGCCGAACATAAGTCAAGGAATGTCTATACCGAGTCCCCAGCAAATGGTAATGGGTCAACAAAGAGCAATAGCGCCTAAATTGGAGCCTCCCGACACAATGGACGCGCGCGCGATGTGGCTGCCTAAGAGAATGAATCATTGTAAGCTTATTGTTTTATTTTGCACGATTATGTAGCCTTTTCTGTAACTGTTTTTTTTTTGTTTTAATAATTGTTTTAATTACATCTACATCCAATTTTTATACAAACTGTTGCGTTTTAGCCACCATGCCAGTTAGTATGTCCCCAGGGGCTACTACGCCGCTTATCGATGGGACTACCACTACTTTCTTCACTAATGAACAGACTTCAGCTGACACCCAAATGACACAAACAATGCCAGGTAATTTATAATAATAATTGATATTAAAAAAAAATCATATGGAATAATTATTGTCTAATTATGGATCATCAGAATCTTTGGAATCGAGTAGTAAATTTAATTTTGTTTGTTAGCTCCACAATAAGCAAAATTACTTCATACTAATATTTTAAATGCGTAAGTTTGGATGGATGTTAGGATGTCTTGTAAACATGAATGGATCTTCATGAAATTAGCATAGATGTAGGGGTGTTTATTTTAATTCTGCGCGGCAGAGTCGAGGGCTACAGCTAGTTAATATTACAGAAATAGACTATTGCTTATTTTGAACAAAAACGACTTTCTTCATATATTATATGGAAATATATTCTTGTTACTCTAGTAGGTAGTAGTAGTAGAGGAGATGGATGGATTGCGTGAAAGGTGACATGATCAAAAAGGGAGTGATGACTGTGATGACGTATGATATAGTTATGTGGAGGACAAAAACCTGTTGCGCCGACCCTACGGGAGTTTTTTTTTTTTTTAAAAAGTAGGATAGAGTAGGATAAGGATGATGATGATGATGATGATTCTAGTAGGCACAGTGTCAGTCCCGGCGGTGTCGTCGGTGGGCGCGGTGGGCGCGGTGGGGGTGCAGACGCCTACCGCGGAGAACCAGCAGAACGGCTTCACCAGTGCCACCAGCCCTCCGCCGCAGCCCAGCCCCATACCACACCGCACACAGAATCAGCACCAGCAAGGTAACAAATAGTTACTATCTATATTTCTATACTAATATAAAAGATAAAACACAGTTTTTTGTTATACAGGATGTCAGCAATCACAAAATATTTTTGAATAATTACTTTTTAATAAAAAGTTCCAAGCTTAGAACATGGTATGAGCTATATATTTTCACGCTATTTCATTTAGGGGATTAATAAATTGAAAAAAAAAACATAATATGGGAAAGCCATAAAATACAAACATGAAATTAGTGATATCTTGGAAAAAAATAAAAAAAAGTCCTTTTCGGGAATAATGTATATTTGAATAATTTGTGTTTAGAATATAATTATTATGTGATTTTTAATGAATTTATAGGTACATGGACAGGCAACAATACGCTAACATACACGCAGAGCTTGGCCCCGCCCCCGGCCGCCCCGCCCGTGCCGGTCGACGCCCCGCCTCACCATCATCATTACTGTACGTATATACAAAACAGGCTAAAAATAGCGCATAATGCGAGCAAAGCAATACATAAGAGTAGCTTATAATCCCATATTCGCACGGTGGCTTTTATAACGCGCGTTAAAAAGACGCTGAAATAAAATCAAGGCATTTTATATTTTTTTCATATACTGACGCTTTTTAAGCGCGACGTTTTTTTGTCGCTCAGTGTTGCAATTTGACAACGGGACAAATGAAACAAGACTGATTTTAAAGCATGTTTATGAGCAAACGCGTTAAAAAAGCGTGAAAATAAGGGCTAACTTTTTAATATTTTTCATATAATAGTGTATTTGATGGTTTATTAGGGTTACTTGGAACAGCTATTTTGTTTCCAGATAATGGAAATCCTGGTGGTCTACTGTCCAGTCAGCCAGCTCCGGAATACTGGTGTTCGGTGGCTTATTTCGAATTGGATACGCAAGTCGGAGAAACCTTCAAGGTCCCATCAAGTAGACCTAATGTTACTGTGAGTGTAATGTAAAAGAAATGTTTTATTAAATTCGCTTTTGTCTCGAAATGCTTTTTTAGTAATGTGTTGCTTTTAGTATTATTTTTATAACTTGATATGTGTCAGGTGGACGGATATGTGGACCCGTCCGGTGGGAACAGATTCTGTCTCGGCGCTCTAAGTAATGTACATAGAACGGAACAAAGTGAGAGAGCGAGGTGAGATTTATTGTTTTAATTATTTTTGATGGATTTTTAAAGATTTTTTTAAGTTACTTGATTTTCAAACATGTTTACTATTTCGTAAGATTTTATTTTTAATCCTCCTGATCACTTTTAATTTGAATTTACTATTTGTCATATCCAAAATCATTACAAAACACTTCCAAGTTCTGTGTTCCCTTTAATACATTTTCTTGTATTATACAAAGGTCACTTTTCGAATAACATTTAATGAGAAGTTTGTAACTCTTCTAGACAACCACTTTTTGTTGAGATATTTTAGAATGTTCCATGGGTGTGACTCTTCTAGACTACCATTCTTGGTTGAAATATTGTAGAATGTTATATGGGTGTGACACTTCTAGACTACTATTCTTCATTGAGATATTCTCGAATGTTCTGTAGGTGTGACACTTCTAGACTACCATTCTCCGTTGAGATATTCTCGAATGTTCTATGTGACTTATATACTACAGATCTCCGGCGAGGTATTCTAGAATGTTCCATGGGTGTGATACATCTAGTCTACCATTATCTGTTGGGATATTGTAGAATGTTCTATGGTTGTGATACATTGTGAGTACTGCAGTTTGGTGTGAGGTGTGTGTGTGTGTTGCGCAGACTGCACATCGGCAAGGGCGTGCAGCTGGACCTGCGCGGCGAGGGCGACGTGTGGCTGCGCTGCCTGTCGGACCACTCGGTGTTTGTGCAGTCGTACTACCTGGACCGCGAGGCGGGCCGCGCGCCCGGCGACGCCGTGCACAAGATATACCCCTCCGCTTGCATTAAGGTATACTCTTAACTAATCATCTATCTATACTATTATCATGTGGGAAAAGGACCATAAACTACACGCTGCCAACATTAAGGAAACAAGGTTATTATGGTATCGGTGATTTTGATATTTGCAATTGATAATTTGACAAATGTAAATAAAAATATCATAAAGCGAGTAGTTCATAAATTTTGAGTATCTGTGTGTAAAAAAAAATTGTTTGTCTGTTCACTTATTCTGGGTAATCTCCTACGACTGTGCTGATTTTAACGGGACATTCACTGAGGAGTAGCTACCGATCACAGACATGTTATAGGATACTTTTAATTCATCCTATCTATCAATAACGCGGGCAAACTTTTTATTATCAGAATAGTAAAACTCATTTTAACAGCATTTTGATGGGAATGTAGCTGGTGGATGCGGGAATACTATAGTTTTTTTTAAATTCTACATCGATCGCGGATCACTGGCATTTGAATAATTTACATTAGTAAACCTGTACAATTAGTGTTTTTGTTTAGGTGTTCGATCTACGGCAGTGTCACAGGCAGATGCAGACGCAGGCGGCGACCGCGCAGGCCGCGGCCGCGGCGCAGGCGGCCGCCGTCGCCGGGCACATACAGCCTGCGCACCCCGGCATGAACAAGTGTACGTAAACATACGCAAATATACAATTACTAGCTTTCGCCCGCGGCTCCGTCCGTGCGAAATTAAAAAAAAAAACAAAAGTGAGTGGCCTATGTGTTCTTCCAGACTATCCTCTATGTCTATGCCAAATTTCTTTATAATTTATATCAGTAAGATTAGTACGATTAGTAAGATTAGTATGATTAGTAAGATTAGTACAATTATTAATATTAGTAAGATAGATTAAACACCTCCCTTTACATCGTAACAACATTTTCTGACGTGTGTTTTTCTTTACGGAAAATGGTGTGGTAGATTGCGTTCCATAAACTGGCATGTTCGTGGTAATGGGCCAATACTTATACACTTGCCAGTTAAATATTCATGAGAATGTACCCAATGAGACAAGTAATACTTAGTTTACTCTTCGCCAGTATAGTATGACTATTGCATGCAAGGCATTGATTGTATAATCATTAGCGCCAGTAAAATATCTCTTTATACCAGTTGAAATCCAGTCACTGAGCGCGACTAACCAACTGTACTGGCCAAGTGTGAACTAGGCATCAGTGTTAAGCTTCATACGCCCTCATTCCTCCATTATAAGCACGTAGTTGTGGCAAAAAACAAATAACATGCTTGCTTTTTATATCTCAGATAGCGTTTACACATGTTTATAACTGGCACGTGCTTGCATTCAAGTGTGTCAGCTACTGTCTTTATTGTAATAATAATGAGTATGACATACTACTGGCTGTGTCTAGTGCGATGGTACTGAATACTACAAAAACATTTCTATTATATCCATAAACAATGTTTTTTTATCTTCTATGTATCTATATTGTTGGATTAAAAAAATCCATTTTTTTTTATACAGGTTTAACGGCGGCGGCTGGTATCGGCGTGGATGATTTAAGACGACTGTGTATCGTGCGGCTGTCGTTCGTCAAAGGCTGGGGCCCGGACTACCCCCGCACCTCCATCAAGGAGACCCCCTGTTGGGTTGAAGTACATCTACATAGGTAACATTAATTATACAATTTTCAATCTATCTATACTAATATAAGAAAGCGTAAACACACTTGTTATTTTGTTATTCCAGAGCACTCCAACTGCTCGACGAAGTTCTCCACACGATGCCCATCGACGGTCCCCGGACGAACATCGAGTAGGAGTTGATCGGCTTCTTTTGAGGCCTTCGAGCGACACTCGGCGTGTCGCCACTTACGGCGAGCGACGCCCGGCGTGCGACTAGTCGCGTCATCAGATGTCCAACTACTCGCACTGAGTTGCGACTTGTGACTAGTTGTGATTAGTTATGATCGGTGATCAGTCGTGATTTGTGACCAGTCATGATTGGTGTCCGGTTGTGATTTGTGACCAGTCATGATTGGTGTCCAGTTGTGATTAGAACAGTGATCGGGTGTCGATAGTCGTAGTTATACGTCTTAAGGCCAGTCACGAGAATGCGACTCGTGACTAGTCGCAGTGAATTTGCGACCCGCAGTTTGTCGCCCCGACGCGCGCCGCTTTTATATTATTGTGCAAACCACCACTCAAATGTTAGTGAACCCAACTTATATGTAAATAGGTAAGTGATATTTTTATTACTGAGGTAAAATTGTATGGTACAAATATTATTCGCTTCAAATTAGAGATTAGATCTTTTTTACAAAGTAGCCCTTCTTGAAAAATTCAAATTTGATTTAACAAATATGAAATTTAACGTAATTAACAGAATCATTGTTCAAAGCAGGTACAAATAAAAATTATATAGAAATACAAATATATAAAGCGATTCAGATAAATGAATTATGAATTCAAACCATTAGGATTAGATTATAAAGGGTGTGCGAGAAATATTGTTATGGATTAATAATAAGGATATGAATATTTGAGTGGTGGTTTTTGTACAATAAGAAAAATGTGCAAGTTTGTTTTGCGAGTTGTGCGGTGCTGTGAAGTGTACATGAATTGTTATTGGATTGTGATATACGGTGGGATGCCATAGCGAATGCATTTAAAAGGTTAGTTACTATTATTTTTATATTTTCGTTATAAATAGCCAGAAAAGGCAACTTGTTGCATGTCAACTGATGACTATAAATTATTAATTTTTTATTTTACATGTATTTGGATGACACTTTCAAAGTGACAGAAAAGCCTTTATAATTGTAAATTAAAAAGAAATTTAACTTAGTATGTTAAAACTACTAAAGTTGACTTATTTCCATTGTTTTGATGTTTCGGTCTGTCTTCCAAAATTATAATTTTAATTTCCGTTGGTTGGGATTGTTTGTGAAGGGAAAGGATTGTTTTTGTATTGTAAATAGGAACAAACATTGCACATTGAATAAAGCGTTTTGCTCGCGTTTGTACTAAAAGGTGAACTATTAATTTATGTCTTGTATTTATTTATAATATTTAAGCGTATTGTCGCCCGCATGTCGAATTAAATAGATCTTGTTAAGCTCGATTTGTCATGCGAACGACTTACGATAAAGAATAAGTTAATTCTGTTCAACATGAGATTTTATTTAATTTAAAAATGTTGCAAATTTATGAATTTTCGGATAAATTATTATTTTGTGTAACACTAAATATATCCAAAAGACACAAACTAATGAAGTAAAATGCTATCTAATCTTATTGCTGCCATTATTATCTTTTTACAGAAATTTTAAGGTAAAAGTCCCAATTATGGACCGGGTAAAACTGAAATGTGTTCCTGAACACCAAATACAATTTTGGAATGCAATTTGAGTTGTTTTTTATTTAAATCAAATCTCATGTTATATATAAGAGCAGACACATAGATATTTATAACCAGTATTGACTTGAAGAAACTAAAGAACATGGAGAGATCTCAGTTATTGTAATACAAAACCTAAATGAATTAATTTAACAATTATGTAAGATATTAGCTATACATATAGACAGATGGACAAACTATTATTGCTCAACCGAGTGTAGAGGTAGTTGTGACCACATTTTTATACAAATAGAATATACGGTTTTTAGTAACAGCTGTACCAAAATAAGGCATTTTTTACATAGATTAAATATAACAAGACATAATTATGGTTCAACTTGAAAGAAGCCAAATTGGAATTAGCTTTTGATATAGTTTTAAGATGAGATATTGTGTTATGTAGGTTTTTTAAGGTGATAAATATATGATAGTTGTAAATTATTTGTATACTTGATATGCAGTGCGAGATGCTAGTTGGTGGCTGATTTGACTGGATTTGTGGGTTAAATACACATATTGCATTTATGATAAACTAATTACAAGAATTTAAAAAAGATTTGTAACAAAAAAACCTATTAAAATCATTCACCAACAATATTTATAATTGTACATTCATTCACTCATTCATTTATCCTCATTCACATGTAGTGTTATTTCATTCACTTATTTAAACTAGTAACTACAATTAATATGTGTCTAAAATGAAGTATTATATTTATTTTTTAAGTTTAAAAATAGAATGTTTGTTACTTTAAATGTTATCACTTCAAAATTTCATTTTAAATACCTTTTTTATAGAAACAGGTTGATTTTAAGGCGTTGAAAAATCTGGCTATTGTCGATTTATTATTTATTTGATAATGAAATAAATGCAGTATGTGTAATAGTTTGGCCTCGTCGAAATCGCGTGAATCATATCGTTTTACCTGCTGTCGGGATGAATTCTCCGCGAGTTTGAAGTATGACTCAAGTTTTTATTACCTTATAGATTTGAACCTTTACTTATTCGATCTGAGCAAACTAGTAGTAAAGATTTTGTTTCAAATTTGTTTTACATTGAACTTCATTAAATTTTATAGTCAATACTTTTACCTCAGTTTTTATTTGTTATTTTTCTATACTAATCACATCTTAATCGATATGTAATGCAAGATTTCTATTTTAAATATCTGATTCAATAAGATTTTGACGGAAGGTAACTAATTTAATGTATCCTGTTTGTGGTAGTTTTATTTTTATTGCATCAAGTGAGTAATCCGACTGTCGTCATGACTTCGGTTATTTTAAAAATCATAATTGGTATTTACATTTAAAATCTTAGTTGTTTATTTTTTGTCTATTTCTTTATCTGTGTGTGAAAAATGTAACTTTTGGAATGTTTTGATTCATGCGGTTTCGTTTGGTATTGATCTGTGATGTGCTAACAAGTTTTCGGACACCAGTTAGATGGATGGCCACAGGTGGACAGATTTTACAAGTGAATGTCGTAGGGAGGTAGTTTTAGAACAAATGACATATTTTGTGTACGAAAACGTATAATGCTAAGTATTAGCGTGTTTTTAGTAATATTAAATATTTGAGATTTTTTTCTTCATTGATTTTTGTTTGCTTAAGTATTGCTTTAATTATTATTATACTGCAGATTTATGTTTTGAATGATTATTATTTGTTAGTTGGAGTTCGCACACGAGATGTGGTTTCTGTCGTAGTCTTAATAGATAAGACAGCTTTGGTAGAACTGTGAGACTATTTGTCACCGATCGATTGTGAATCGAACGTTTCGTAAAATGACTGAGTTCATAAATGATCAGCGACAGTAATCGCAGGATGCAGAGCTCTTGCTATTTTTTTACCAAGTCTCCTGTGCGAAGGCTCTTTGTGTTTCCGATTTATTTTATTGATTGATTATTTTATTATGAATATTAGGTGGGCTTTGTCCACATTACGAGCTTCGAAGAATGACAAAGTAGTGTTATATTTTTACTATATCGTATAAATTATTTCACATGCCGTGTGTTTTGAAATTTTCATAGCAATAATTAATTTTAACTGTCATTATTCGATTTGCAATCATCACAATTCCCATTAATTTGTTCATGTAGCTTTTTTAATTTGTTCGTTACCAATGTATTTAATATTCGAACAGTGCAAGTCTTGTAAATAGTACAATATAAAAAATATTTTGTATGAACGATATGGGCGTCTGAATCGGTACTTAGGTATATTCTTACAATGGATTTCATTTTTCGGAATAAAAAATAACGTTTATCGAAAATACCTCTTTATAGTGATCAAAAGGAATCAAAAGGGTTTTTAGATATTAATAAGTGGTAAGTTTTTTCTTATAATGTTGAAGTTTGAAAATGATATTTGTGAAATTCTACCAGCCGCCGTTAATATTTTACTGCCCTACTGTTTGAATGTTCGTAAGACACTGCACTTGCGGTTATTAGACATGTTGAAAATTAAAAAACAAAACTATATTAAATGTAAAAAGTACATGTAGTTTTTATAAGTATCAAGATGTAAATTGTGTATTTTTCAAACCTAGATACCCGGCTCCTAAAACACCTACCAAATTATTTTTTTACTTATTCAAAATGTTAAATAAATGGCTATGAGTAAAAGAAGATAACCCTATCAATGTGTCTTGATCATTTTTATAGTATTTTTTCATCCTTAGCAGTTTAAACGATTTTTTTTAATGAAATGATATTTTGGTCCTTCGGAGCCGGATGTCATCCTCTATACCTGAACATTTGACCAATACATAACCATGTAAATTTGTGATTGTTTTCTGTCTATTTTTGAAATGCGAATCGTATTATTCGAATGAAAATCGAAACAGTTCTATTACGTTTTTTGTTGTCTGTGAAGTGACTTGACTTTGGATACCGCACACGGTGTAATGTAGCCTTAAGAGCATAGTTAAGAGTGAAACTATGAAACAGAAATGAATATAAAGGTTATTCCTCTAGTATTTGGTTTTATTTTATTCCTATTGTACTGACTGAATATTTTTTTTTAAATAGTGCGTAAAAGGCAGAATGCACCCAGAAACTAAGAGCTGGCGCTTACCGTTGATTACACTGGCATAACTGTTTAGTTGAAAAACTAAAGATCGAGTGTTCGCACCACCATATAAACTGATAGGAATTAAAGCTTGACTAAACGGTTGTGCGATAGTTTAGTCAAAGGTGCGCAGTCTTATAATTGCCGTACAATTGCCAAAGCATTTTTATTTTAGTACAGTTTGAATATCTAAATACCTTACGTTGCTTTTGGACTAACGGCCAATTACGTCATAGTTGCAGTATTAGGTTAATACTATATTAAATACGAGCTGTTGCCCGCGACTTCGTCCGCGAGTTATTAGAAAACATACGAACTATATAAATGACAAAAAGCTACGTATCCCTCGGGAACCGGACATTTCTCGGGGATGAAGCTTATCCCATGTGTACTCCAGACTTTGTTTTATATCTGTGCCAAATTTCAATAAGAGATGTTGTACCGTTGCAGAAAGATCGAGTAAACATTAAAAAACTAAATTAATGAATCCCACGGGAACCGTAACTATTCCCAGGATAAAAAGTAGCCTATGTGTTCTTCCAGACTATGCTCTAAACCTGTGCCAAATTTCATGAAGATCGGTTTAGCCGTTTAGGCTACAAACGCTAACAAACATCCATCCATCCATCTAAACTTTCGCATTTGTAATATTAGTAAGAAGTAAGATTAGTAAGATGTAACTAGCATAATTGCTACATTTATTAGTCTAAATATTAGATTTACCGCGTTACTGTCATACGGTAGGTGTGCGTAAAACTGGAGCTTAAAATAGAGCCGGTCGACGCGTGATCCCGCGGGATTGGAATGGTGCCGGGAGCGGGTGCGCGGGAGTGAGTGGACCAGTATTTATAGTGCCGTGCGAATCACTCGCTCTAATTTATCAAAAAAAAAAACATAAATACGCAACCACTTTCCGTTCTGAACTTGTGGAAGTGTTCATTGTTCTTATTGTGGTCATTCTATCATCTATACTTCTATACTATTGTAATAAAGCGTAAACACACACTTCTTTGTTGCCTAAGATGTCAGCAATTAAAGCATATTTTTGAATAACTCTTTCTTTAATGAAAAGCCCTAAACTTACTTCACGCTTTAGGCTATATATTTTCACGCCATTAAACTTTGGGGGTAAATATTTTGGATAAAACATCAAGGAAGCAAGATTAGCAAGGTTTGTCATGTCATGTCATTTTGACTTTTGCTATTGATAATTGAAAAAAACAATAAAACTAAAGTTTCATAATGTCACGCGGATGAAGCCGCACGGGAACAGCTAGTTCATTTATAAGTCCTCTAACTAAATAAAAAAATAACTTTTATGATTAATAATTGTAATTAAAGTATTAAAAATGTCTTATATCTTAGAACATAATATAATTTTCATTTATAAATATGCTTTGACATAAAAAACAAGGTAATAACAGTTACTACGGCAGTAACACTCGTAGACGTTCAAATGTAGACTTACCTAGTCCTCCATTCGTAAATGTGTGTTCACTTAGCGCGGGGAAATAGGCCAATTAAGTTGTTTTGAACACTTACGAGTAGATAACGATTATTACTAATGTTTCATGAATTTAATGTTCCGAAATTATTAATACAAATAAATAGTATGTTAAAATTTTTTTAAATGTTTATTCGTGGTTTCAATGGAACGGCTTAGCGGCGAGGCTCGGGCCGAAATATTCCTAAATTTTAGATATTTTTAGCGACCGAGGCCGACCCTGTTTACATGTTTTCTCTTTACGATCTTCATGTTTTGCAGCTCACCGAATGCTATTTTCATGAAACGGATTGAGGGTTTGTAAGTATCATAGTTCATCCCATTTTTATGGCCTTCGTAACCATAGTTTTGATGGCGGTCTTGATATTATTAACATTAAAATGTATTACTATGTATTTCTATGTTTATATTATACTTCTATGACCGTCATATAAAAAATTATATTTAGATTTAAGAGCTATTTAAAGAAATAAAATTATTCGGTCGTGGTTTGTCGTGCTTTCGTAGAGCACTACACGTAAGTGCAGGTAAGTGGGCGGTATTTCCTGTTTCTATAATGTTAGCATTACTGAAATTCTTATGCAAAATAACAGTATTATAACATTATGAATTTAATTTTAAATTGGACATTTAATTTGTTGTAGCTCGAACCTGAGATATATAATGTTGATATAACTTGTTTTGTAGTAGTGTAGCTAGCAGTAACAAAAATTTTGACTTGACTCGATAGCATACGTCATCAGGAGGTAGAAAACTACTTCTATTCTAAGAAGTAAAACTGCTGCAGCCTCTAAATCCATTGAATTTGTTTCTTTTATATACAGAATGAGTGACATCGCTTCTGTTATTTTTCTGATGTTATTATCTATCGTTAGTTAATAATTTAATATTACTATATGCAAGAACTAATGCTAATCAGTTGTGTCTATGAGACGAAAATATGTCGTTTTATTTTGAGTCGAAGGTTGTTAGTTAAGGAACCCTGGAAAGCGGAGCGTCAAGCCAGACTGCCCGTGAGTCGTAATCCGAAATAAAACTATTTGCCAATTGAGTGCGGCCGCGCCGTGCTTTCCAGCTTTATCGATAACTTATCACTTGACTTACTTTCTTATCGATCACATAACTTAACCTGTATAGGAAGTTTGAAACATTTTGAATATAGTGATGTTCGTTAGATTCGATATCATAAATATTGGTTATGATATCGATATGGTTACTACAATATCGTGTATTATGCTTAAATTATTTTTCCTATGAATCCATAGTTTTTATTTAATTATGGAGTTTATTATACCCTGGTAGAACAGTAATGAACGTTAAATGATTTTTTAATTTGTAGGTACACTGAACGTTGCAACACATTCTGCTGTGAATTGCAAAGAAAGCAGGTCGATGTTTTTTTGGAATTGTTTATTTGAGATGTTCGATTGGATAATAACAGACTGTCATTGTACTCAAGTTAACGTACAAATTGAATTGAATATGGCTAGGATAAAAGAGAAGGAAATAAAAGTCTTATATATTGATACAGTTTTCTTTATTCTGACTTACATATCTTAAATGTAATCAACACAAGTGACTTTAAAATAAGTACAGTTTTTCACAGTTTTCTTTTTATTTAAATATCGATATAGTTTGAGATCATCCCTAGTGGTAGCGGCTCCCGTCCCGCGGGCGCGCTGTACCGGCCGCGCGCCGACAGCGCATCCGAACGAACGAAACGCCAACACCCGCACATTGCCCGCGCGAACGTGTTTACATTTAACCTCATATTTATATGACAATTATAATTTATATAGTGTAGTGCTTAATTGGATTACTTAGTGTTATTTTAGGTAAGTTGTTGAATTTTTTTAAAGTTTTTTATGGTTACTTCAAATCTCTTGCGCATGAAAGCATGCGTTTTGGGTGTGAAAGTAGATCAAAGTTTGGAAACGTAATTAGATCGATAAAATAATACAATAAATATTATCATTTTGGTTCAATACGAAGCTTTAATAAGTGTTTTACATATTTGAAATAAATATAAACTTTTGTACTAACAGTGAGTTTTCACTATTTTAATACTTGTATAATGACAATATTCTTACATTCCTCATTCTCTGAACAAAGGGATAACGTTTTTATACTAATGTCCAAACTATTGAAATTCAGTATAATAAACGGAAGAAAGGCAGATACTGCTCATAAACCATTTCTTTCTTATCGCTTATGATTGTTTTTTTTTAATTCAGAAAAACTTAACTAGACTAACCTTTTAAATCAGTTTCACTTTACTTGGGTGGAGTTGACAAAAAGACACTTCGGAATACAGCATTTTCAAGTTTATTATTACTTTTTTTTGAAAATTATGAACGAAAGAATATATAAAAAAAATAAAATACCACCTACGTGGGATTAGAAATATTTTACTTGGCCTTGTTAACTTGTTGAGTATCTAAATGAAATGACATTGGCCTGTTTTAAATTTACGTTGATGAGTTTTGTGCACATTTCTATTCCAAATTATTTAGGTTACGAAAAGTATTGTAAGAAATGATTTAAAGAACGGATGAAGTTGGACTTAAAAACACATTGCAGCTTACGTTGTACATTAATTGTAATAAATATGATTAATTTAGACATATTGGACTTACAAAGTTAACACGCAAAGAGGAAAAGTTTGATTTAAATAGGGTTATTCAAATCAAGTGTTAGTTAAAAAACTTCTTTTTTCAACGTCACCTAAATCTTACTCCACAATGTTCTAAGTTTAAAAAAAAATCATCATTAAAGTGCAATGAAATGTTTAATCGTTTGTCTTTTTATTATTTTTGACTGAATTAATGAATGTTCATGCACACGATAAAAACTAATTCACTTGCATCTTTAGGTGTTCATATTATACTTGAGTATTCACTCAAAAAAGCCTTTCAAAAAATTTTGCTTTCTCCTATATATCTGTCGCTTTAAGATAGATGAGTCTGAGTGAGATGACAATACGTTTGTAGTAGTGAACTCAACGTATTGTTATTAAAATTAAAAAAATAGTTCAAATTTTGGTTCTGGAGATTTACTTTACATGTGTTTGGTTATTGCATATGCTTTGGTGGCTGTATTACGCACGTGTCGACGCAAGCTTGGCGCGTGAGTAACGATTAAGCTACTGACTCAAAGCTCGCATTTAGAATCGAAAGCTCTGATACGCATAATAAAGAGATACGTAGTAAAACTACGGCAAGTTGTTATAAATGTATAAATATGAATTTTTCATTGAAATAATTATTAATTCCCATCTAATAGATGTAATGCACATAAAGGTAGTTTACATTCAAGTAATTTTACACGTTTAATTACTAACTAAATGGAAATATTTATACGTACCATTCACCTACTTAAAACTCTATCCATATGGAGGTTACAGCCAAGGGCGGATCCTGCTTTAGTGCTAGGACGGGGTCACATAGTCGTGGTCAAGTCAAATATGTAAAAATATCTTGTTAAGCTCTTGACCAACCAGGAGGGGGGGGAGTCATGACCCCCCCTGGATCCGCCGTTGGTTACAGCTACTTTCTTTAACTTAACAATATGTTAGTGCTTTTGTTCTTATATCAGGGAGATATGAATAATGCTCGTCCATTCGCTTTTCATACGAAAGGTCGGAATCTTGGCATCGTAACAAACATTAATCACGGACGTACTGCTCGATAACAGCTTCCACCTGGGGATCAAGGTGTACTGGTCAAGTACAGTAATGCGTCTAGTTTATTGTTAGTTTCCACTGACGAAACACGAATAGGGAATTAGAGAGTTATTTTATTTGTGATTGTCGGCAATGGAAACGCTAACCAGTAAAACAAATGTTTTTTAACTGTTTTTAATACGGGACACATATCTATGATTTACTAGCTATCGTCCACGACTGCGTCCGTATGGATTTTAAAAAACAAAAGAAAGTAGCTTACGTGACGATCCTCTACATCTATTCCAAATTTTATCGAGACCCGTTCAGTAGTTTGGGCTGCAAACATTAACAAACATGTACATCTAAACTTTTGCTTTCATAATATAATATAATTAGTAAGATGATTAAAATACTGGAAAGAGATAAAATAAATGAGCTACTTTTAATTTTATTTATTGGTTCACAGAGTTGTCGAATATTTCTCATTTTTCACCCTCATATCAATCAAATCCTTAGTCTTACAGTTTGCAGAACTTTTGTAATTCTCAAAGCATTCCTATCGCTTCACCTGTCGGCGCAAGCGCAGTGCGTGCCCTAATTTTCCGTCCTCATTCCAACAATAGATCCCATCAAGACGTGTCATAATTGCCAGTTTGTTTACTTTATGGTGAAAGATATAACGGTTAACAATTTAATTATAACTGAGCAAATCTTTTTTTTAATATATTAAGGAGTCAATTACACTGCTAGGATAATGTATTTGCGATATCAAGTACATAGTTTAATAAATATGTGACTAATTTTATATCGAAAACATCATAAGTTAATACTTTTTTCAATACAATTCAAAATATGGAGTATGCTAAGTGTGGGCTGTCGTAGGTAGAGGTTAAAATTAAATCTGGCAACCAGCCATAGACTATAATTGTAGTCAGAGTGCCAAAATTCTATCGGTACCACTGACGTATTCAATGTTTAACTGTGGAATTCCGTTATTTTATTTTTCATTAGCTTTTCCACGTCGGTAGCCAATGATCTAGGCTAGGTTTAGAGAGGTTAGCTTTTGGACGGTTAATAGGATGGCTGGAGAACAAAGAACCTATCAAAGACGACGTGTTGACGACATAGAGATCTAGTCACTCATAAAGTCTTCACCTGGCTATAAATTACATACATTTGACGTTTTAAACTTATTTGGGCCAGCAAATCCAAAGTAAGTTCTAATGAACTTAAGTTTCCAATAAAGGTAAACCTATCGTGAAACATTATCTAGCGAAAATTAAAGACGACTCAATTCACGTTTTATCCTCCGGTGACGGCACCGACTAGTTTCGGCCCCAATGACGCCCCATAGTCAGGGTGAGTATAAGGTAGCTTTGTTCGTGGTCTCGAATTTTGGCTGAAGGAAAACCTGGTTTTGAAAAGAGTCTTAATCTGAACAAACAGAATATTATACTTATGTAGAGCAGTAGAGAAGTATAAGATGTTAGTAATAATAGCTCTATATTTATTGAAATTTAGATTTCTATAAATTTCGATTAATTTCTTAGCATATAAATAAAGAATATGTTTTCATATACCCAGACACTTCTCTAAACAAAATTTAACGCAGAAAGATGCATACGACCTTGAGTATGTAACAACATTTCGTTGGATTCCCGAAAAAAACATCTGTTTATAATTGAATACTGATGCTATGATCTCATTTCACAGTTGTTGCTGATCGCATCGACCAGCGAACATTTACTGGAATACGGAAAAATTTAAACATGGCTGAAAATGGGTAAGACAAAGACAAACACTCATAACAAAACACATTTCATTTAATTATTACACACACACATGTATTACACAACTTATCTTTAATTTTTTTGTCATGATAATGGTCAAAAAAATGATTTGTAATGCAACCATTAAAATTAGAAATTAATCATCCAATCCGAAAATAGTTCTATTTGTCCAGAGCAGTCGATACTGTCGACTTGCATAAAAATAACGCATAAATTGGCTTCATTCCAGATACGGAATGGCCGGACACATTGGCAGAATCCCGAACTACGGCAGAACACAAGTTAATGTAAGTTTATGTCATTTTAAAGTTATGGAATAACATACAGCGTTGGTTTTAAAGCTTGCTTTAATATAATACGAGATAAATATAGTAAAATGTTGACATTTTTTTTTTTGGATTTCAGCCTATGGGCAGCGTAGAACCACCGGCATGTATCCAAAACGCAATGATGACAAAGGATAAGAAGCCATTCACTTACACTCCCGGTGGTCTCGACTTGTCTCAGATACGTACCCCGAGCATGGCTAGAAGACTAGCCAGGCAGCGATCAGACGAGCAAGAGAGGGCTTATGTTCCACCAAATATGAACAATGGCGGAAACTATAATCCTCAAGGCGGACCAGCTCCGCCGCCACCACCCCCGCCTCCGCTTAAGATACCAGCACCACCACCGCCACCACCGTTGATCATAGAAGCACCAAACGCAAAGGCTGTAAAACCTGTACTTCTTGGTGAAAGGCCTGAAATAGTAATACCGGAGAACCCAATAGGTATGTTACGAAAAACAAATAGCCCATATCACTGGGAAGCTGAGAAGGCGGAAATGCAACGAATGGGACCAGTGCCGAAGTTTGCAGAAAAGGTTCCGAGTCCATTGACAGTGAAGCTCCCTATGCAGCAAATGCAACAGAACTATTCTCCACCGGAACAAAACATGCAGAGGCGAAATTATCCTTACAACCAAAGTAATCAAGCACCCGACAGTCCTATATATAGACCTGAAGCTCAGTATGGTAATCAAAGACCAAATTCCGCGAATGTAAATGGGCCGCCACAAACGAGAGAAATGTTAGTGAGACAAGATTCGCAATTTAACAAAAGCCCCCAACCCTTCGCGGGACAATCACCTCTGTCTAATGGCACGCCATATTCTCCGACACCAAACAACAATTGGCGGCAACCGGAAAAGAGAGATTCTCCTGCAAACAAAACGAGTAGTCCTCTCTCTCAGCAAGGTAATCGCGGACCCTTTTCACCGGCAACTCAGCAAAGTTCACCAAATTACTCTAATCAATCACCACCGGCTTTCCACACTCTGCCTAGAGTTGGTCAAAGAAGTCAAGAACCCGTCAGCAATAATTTCCAACAACCACCGGTACAACAGAATACAAGTGTGGACCAATCTAATTATGCGCCGTGGCGGACGAACACCTTGAACAGGTATCCACGAGGAGGTGAGAATCAGCCAAATAATGCAAACAGTCAAAATGTAAATCAACAACAGGCTTACAGTCCGCCATGGAAATCTAATGATTCCAATAACAACAGACCTGAAAATAATTACAATCCTTCATGGAACCAAGAAAACAAAGTTAATTCTCAACAACAATATAATCCACCATGGTTATCGAAGCAAGATGCTAATAACAATAGAATACAAGAAAATTCCAACGTTAACTTCCAAAACAGAACGAACCCGTCGGCACCAAATTCACAGGAACAACCTCTCTACCAGTCTAGTATTTCGATTCCTGTCTACGGTAATCAAAGAAAACAAAATTCACAATCTGAATACAAGAGCTCTCCACAAAAAGAAGCTGTATACGTTAACCAAGAACCAGTATTTTATTGTTCCGACAGCCCCAAGACAATGCCACCATGGGTAAAAACACAAAAGGAGAAAACTAAAACTCCACCTCCTGCCTGGTGTAACAGACCATTAGAACAAAGAAGAAGTATAACCAGAGATTTAATAACTCCACCAAGAGACACAAATCAAGAGCCTGAATGGGTAAAAAAGAGTAATGAGATGCAAAGGGGAATTCAGGAAGCTGGAAGTCCGCCAAAATATCAGCAAACGGCTCAACCAAATTGGTCTACGCGTCCTTCTGAAAATCGTAAGAGTTTACCCAAAGATAATGCAAGCAGTACACCGGGTGCTAGGATAATACCTATTCAAATGGAAGTATCGAGTACAGAGACGAGAAACCAAGCAAAACAAGGTGACCGTCAGCCGCAGCTAAGAATAGTAATTGATATGAAGCAGAATCCTGAAAGTCAAGCCCACGCACAGGCGCCATACTCTCAGCCAACCCAACGTATTATGAGAGTGCTGTCGCCGCAGCTGGTTCGAATGGATGAAGATTCCAGACCCCAGCAACACGAACTTCCAACATTAAATCGACATTTTAGCCAGGATAGTCAGCCAAAGACGCGTATTATCCCTATACAAATTGAAAGTGGTAATGGCGGGGCAAATAAAAGGTAAAATAAAAAACACTTTACTTATATTATTTAGAATCGTAGCGTAGTTACATTGAATTTACTTGCTTTACGTGGTTTGTATTTAGGTGAATTGCTTATTTTCTTTACTGTTGATACAGTAAAGAAAATAAGCAATTCACCTCTGTATGATTACAGAGATATATTTGTAGGTAAATTTATATGTATATGATCGTTTTCAGCTTCGGTGGGCGGTACTAAGGGAGCTGTTTGCACTGGTCCAAAGTAAACACTTTTTTATTGCACCGCTTGTAATTCTGCGATGAATCATACTTACGCTTGCTTTATATTTAGCGGCAATTTGCTCTGCGAACGCTCTAATTTCGTTTACTTCACTAATTTTATTTACAATGTGACCTTTAATTACACTATAAAATGATTTACAGATGTTCTTTGCGTTTAATTTTCATACATTACTAATTATATTAACATCATAATTATCGATCACTCGTGTTAATTTTCATTTCTCATGATTTTAGATTAGAAATATTAAATTGAAAATTGTAAGAAACTGACTGAATATATTGAACATTTCAGTATAGTTAATTTTGAAGGATATTCAATAGACATAGTTCGGTGCCTGTGTTTGAAATTAATGCTGACTTGGAACCTTTTCCAAGTCAGCATTAATTATAATTAATCTCTCAAAGTAAAAGTAAAATAGATTTCGGGTACAAATCATGCACAATAATTCTCTTTCTCCTCATTTTATCCACATCGTGAGAGTGTTATTTCGTTTGTATAACTTGGTTAGTATAAAAAAAGTGATTTCTTCGATTTTAGAGTAGATTTTCTACAATTTTCAGAGTGCTCTACCACAAAATCAGTCGGGAAGGTTCACCGCAGCAGTCTAGAACATTCAAAGTGCTGCAAGCTATGACCAACACGCAAGATATAGGTTTCGTTTATCCTAATAATGTTATTTATACTGATTTTTAATAACAAATTGTTAACCATTGTATAAGCTGTTCTGATTGTTCACCTTTCTACTTTTGATATTGGTGTATATATATTTGATTATGGTTATACAAAGGTTTTTTTTTATTTAAACGACATTTTGTTATTAACCATGCAAGATATTTATATTGTTGAATAATATATTTAATAAATAACAGAATAATACAAAAACGCGCGGGTTTACTTGTGAGATAATATATATTTTTTGTAATATATTATATATATTTGTTTTATATATTTAGTGTTAAAATAACGTAACTATAAGAACGAATAAAAATCAGTGGCGAAAATACGCATGCTTTTTTGTGATTTTACTAATGCTCGTAGAATATAATATACAGCTAACTTACCAAAGAATTGTTATATAAGTATTGTTTAGCTAAGTTTAAATATAATTAATCTGTTAGAAGTAAAGGTTTAAGTAATTATAAAAAAATGCAACCGCTGAAGTCCAAAGAGAATTTAGTGTGCAGAAAACTTTTAACACAAATAATGTTAATTGCGAAAACTAACTTATAATTGATATTAATATATATGTATATTTATGTATGTATTGAAATAACTCAAAAACTACTGGGCCGATTTCAAAAATTCTTTCACCATTAAAAAGCTACGTTATCTGTTAGTAACATAAGCTATGTTTTTTTATTACTTTTTTAATTTTACGCGGGCGAAGTCGCGAGCAACATATTCAAGATACTAAATGTAAAAGTTTTTAGTTTGCACGATAGAAAAATATAATTCTCGTAATAACATCTATGTAGGTTTACTATAGGTTTTAAATTATTTTTATGTTTTAAATTGAATAGTTATATCCATTAGATTTAGGGCCTGTCCCACTAAATTTTAAAGTGTCTGATAACAATCTAACGTATTAATATGTGATGAAAATAACGGATTTTATTTCGTTATCTGACAGTGACGTCATTTTTAGCTATCTGAGCCTCTATCAGCCAGTGGTGGGACAGGCCCTTAATATTATTAACTTTATATGATTCAAAATCATGATTAGATATTTTAAATTAAATAATTACTTAGCCTACATTTACTTTATAAATTATTAATTTAATTAATAAATAAATAGTTATTTAAAAAATAATTTTATTAACAAAGTATTAAACTTGTAGTTAAATAGCATTTTCCTTAATTAACAAACTGTTATAAACTAAATATACCAAAATTACTTAAATTAACAGTCCCTGGATCCCGGATTTGTGTTATGATTAACAAAAATGTTGTTCTTCGTTATATAGTGGCACAGATAATATTTAAAATTACAGGCTATCCTAGATAAAATAATCACGTTTTAAAGGCAATAACATTACGATCTATGATGACGTAACCAAATATGAGTTTTTTACATTGCAGAAGAATGAAAAATCCTCGAGAATCTAACATCATCTCAAGTTTAATTCGATCCGAAACCATTTTAATGAAACGGTTTACTATTTCATTAGATCCCCAAAAATGCAACATATTTTTTATTGTTATTGCGAGAAAAAAAAAACATTACCTTAACACTGTGCTGAAAAAATCTTTCGAGTTAATAATATTTTGGCTCTAAACAGTTATAATAGATATATTAATTGTTGCCACTATTAACAAGAACCAACGCTGAACAGACAAAGGGTGTGACATTCTAGTCAGAGTGGTCTTTTCTAAATTATTTCGTATTTAATTATATAAATATGAATTTAATATTATAATATAAATTAAACTTTACGTATAGATTAAGCTGTCGTATGTATAATGTATTCGAATATTGTTATATTAATAAATAAAATTATTTTTCTGGAAAAAACTTTTATTTCAATGGACTTTGTACTTCGATTATACATTAAGCTTTCGCCCGCGACTCCATCTGTGTGGAATAAAAAAAACATAAGTGATTACCTTATGTTCTTCCAGACTATTCTTTCCATCTATGCCGAATTTCATCGAAATCCGTTCAACCGTTTAGGCTACAAACTTTAACAAACATCCATCTATCTAAACTTTCGTATTTATAATATTAGTATGATATTTACGTAATTGTAGTTTAAGAACGTGCTCACCTTTGACTAAACTATCGCAAAACTGTCCAGTCTCGTTTTAATTAGTATGAGCTTATATGGAGGTACGACTTATATGACGCCGTAGAGCTGGACCTGCGCGAGCTAGAGTCGATCGGCTGGCAGGTGACGACGCAGGACAGACGACGCTAGCGCTCTCTCGTGTCGGAGGCCAAGACCCACTTCGGGTCGCTGCGCCAACACAGAAGTAAGTATATGGAGGTAACACTTTTAGATTTTAAGTTGTGAAACTAAACATTTGAAAATGCTGCGAAACAATCGACAATCGCACAACAGTTCTGCTGTTGTTTAATCAAAGGAGCCCGCTCTTACAATGATCATAACAATTTAAACATTGGAGTTGTTATAAGTGGTAATTTTGCTGGTCATATATTTACTAACTAGCTGGTCCCGTGCGGGTTCATCCGAAATTATAAAAACTTTATTTTGTTGTTTACAATTGACAAATTTTCAATAGTAAATATAAATATTGCAGTTAACATAATAAGCTTCCTTAATGTTAAATCCTTGTAGCTTATGGTCCCTTTCCCACATGAAGGATTTTTTCCAATTGATTTATCGACTAAGTTTAATAGCTTGAAAATATATAGCCTAGAGCGTGTCGTAAGTGTAGGGGTTTTTATTTAAGAATGAATTATTCCAAAACATATCGTCATTGCTGACATCCTACGCCACGAAGTAGTGTGTGTTTACGCTTTTATCAATATTGTTAATTTCTTTTCTACACGATAATAATAGTTTTATAATTTCAACCATAGCTTATTTAGTGATATATGTGTTTCTCTATATATAAATTATATTAAATTACATTTAGAACTATTTAGTTGAACGCATTGCAGCAGGAATTTAGCACGTAGTTAGTTCCGGTGGAGAATTCGGATGGTGTCGTATTGTGTCTCATTAGTCGGTACATTTGTTTAACAAAACACGCCTCGCTAACTCCCCCGCCTTGATGAACCTAATTGTATGCTTCCTTTTTACCTATTAAGTTTTTTTTTCCTTAGGTTAGTAGATTTAAATATATACCAATATGATAAACCTGACAAAACTGAATGTTTCGATACACATTTTTTCGCAGTGTTCGATACAGATATTTTTACAACAATTATTTAAAAAACCGCAGTCCCTTAAGGTCAGATTTGCGAGCTATCTATCAGGAAAGGTTTAAGAAAACGGAGGAAATTTATTGCAATAGATTCGCAATGTTCCGAGTAATAGAATTCTTCAGGTTCATATATTTTAGGGTTATTGAGTGGAACATTTTTATTATGGTGCTAAATACGGATATAGCTAACTCGACGTTTCAGACGCGTTATAATAGAGTGTATAAACTTTCTGGGATTGAATGGGTAGATAGACATATAGATTTAACTGTACGATTTATATAAATTTTATGATTAAATTTTTCTTATTTCATTAGTTACAAGCTGTTGCTCGCGACTTCGTCCTCCAGAAATTAAAATATATAATAAAAAAAATATAAACATACAGACGAACCTCCTTTTGGGAAGTCGGTGAAAAATGTAACCTATGTGACTCACAGATACAGTACCTTACTAACGGTGAAAGAATTTTAATATTAGCCTAGTAATTTTTGAGTTATTTCTATACATAAAAATACAAATCTTTCCTCTTTATAATATTACTATAGATTGGTCAAAGTTTGCAGGTTTCTTTTGTATCTTTTTTTGTATAATTCTGTAAAGATTTACATTTGTAAGCCTAAAATACTTCATTTATTTTTAGTACAAAGCGCAACAATTTTCAAGTACTCTTCGTGGATTAAATAATTTGTTAAAAAAGTACAAGTTATTTTGTAAACCGGTAATTGTTTTTTCGACTACAAATAAATTGTTTTATTTATCCAAATTGTAAAATAACTATTTAAAAAAATTGAATACTGATATCATCAGTTCAGATTTAAATTGAGATAAAGGAGAGCACAAGCACATCACTTAATTGCCCCAAGTGGGACATGAACCGAAGTTAATCGACTTCTCGATTGCATACGATTGTTTACGTGTCGCTATCGACTTTCATTCAATCGATTTCAAGAGATATTTGTCGACTTAAAATACATAGAATTAGCATTCCTTGTATTAATTAAATTATTACTCTAAACATTTTACTTATTTTAACAAAATAATATATAATCAAAACAGAACAAAGTTTTTAATAAGATTACGCATATTTTTTTTATTTTGTAAACCACACATTTACGAAAGTATGAACTAATTTGTAAGAGCGTCCGCATACCTAAAACTAAATTATCGCATAACTGTTTAGTCGCGCTTTGATTTCTTTGAATTTTCATAATAATGCGCACACTACTCGATTCTTAGTTGTGTAACTAAACAGTTGGATAGGGACAATCGCAAGACAGTAGTGCGATAGTTTAGTCAACGGTGTGCGCCCGCTCTAGGACAACAGTAATGGTGAAAATTATTTACTTAAATTATTAAAACATGAACATATCAAGTCCCTATATAATGCTACAGATAATTAGATGAATAATGTGATGCCCTCTGGCAGACAGCCATCAAAATGCCGAAGTTTCGTAATCCATACATCTAATAAAATTGGAGTGTCTGTTTGTAACATCAAAAGAAAAATTCCAGATTTCAGGATGATGATGTATCTGCGATGCTGATAAAAAAAATTTGCATTTAATTTTTTTTGTCTGTCTGTCCGCAAGTCGCGTTTGTTCCGGGTAATCTCCGACACCCCTGGGCCAATTTCGACTGGACTTTCACTGAAGGGTAGCTGACATAGACGGGCATGTTATGGGCTACTTTTTATCTTAACATTGCGTGGACGAAGTCGTGGGCAACAGTTAGTAAAACAGGATTGATGTCGTCTTCGTCATTACACTTAATGGATTGACTTTTGTCCTACACCGCTCGTTACAGAGTTACGACTCCAATCATTATCACGGACTGAACATGACCTTTGCTTTCCTTATCTTCGAGTATTAAACATAGATTGCCTTCATGTGTTATCTATTAATTAATTTATACGGTGACTCAGGAGACATGACTTGTATTCTAAAAGTCCTGCCTTCGAATCCGATGTATGTGTTTTCGATTGTCCAATTTCATTTGTACATTTATCGATATTTTTAAATCACGGTGAAGGAATCATGATCGTGAATATGCGCTAGTCAACCCTAACAAAAAATATAAACTGTTAAAGTTGAATTAATTTATACATACTTAGGCTGTGTTTTAAATAAATATACTTCGATTTGTTATCGTACTTCTTGTCGTAATGAAAAAGATGGTTTTCGTCGTTTAAACTTTTTATTGGTTAGTTATTTATGTTTGAATAATATTGTGCTCTAATTTTTGGATACTTTACTACTAACACATTACAACTTTACAATTCTTGTAACATTTACTGCACTAAAAGTGTCGAAATAACTGAAAATATGACTGCATTTTAATGTAAAATAAAAGTGTAAAGAACACAGAATTCATTTGTAATAA